ATTTTGCTTGTATACATTTTTGAAATGCTGTGAGCGATTGTTGTGTTAATGTGACGTACTTAAGTTCAATCAGGCAAGTTTGAAACGCTTGGCCTGCTGCCGAATCAAGGAACCCGCATGATAAGACCACCACAACAATAATGAAGTTTCACTTACCTCACAGTCAATCGTATTAACACACTGGCTACGAAATAAGTTATATAAGACCTACTGGTACTTAAATATGGTTACGCCTTCCAACTGTAAACCAGCACATTTCAACTCGCAGCGGAATTTACTGCATTGCATAAAAACTGTTGATCTCTACAGATCTCTGCCAACGAGACAACCTTTTCTACTCTATGACTATAAAATTCAGTGTTTTCACAGCTCATTAATGTTTCCTCTCTGCTTTTCCTCGTTGAAGTTCGTATGTTGTACAACAAGTGAACCAGCAATTCGCATTTCCTATGAGAAAACACCATGGTACCCCACAATATTTCGCTGTTTTTCTTGTCGGTAAAAGCTGAAGGATTTAAATTTCATGTTCAAATTTTTGAATATGAGGGTTTTTAAACAGTTTTAAGGATTAAAAAATGGTTTTTGGAAGATATTAGTGTCCTTGCGGCGACAGAACAAGACCACTTTTAAAAGCTTGTCAACTTCCCAGCTGCTCAACTGCGTCGATTATTGAAAAAGACGTAGTAGCCGACGAGAATTAGAAGTAGTCGCCGATGTGTTAATGATCAAAACGACGAAGTCACTACTTTTTCTGCCTTCATAGTAGCAAAAATTTACTACAAATCATAACAAATTACTAGGAAACCACAAAACTCGCCTTATCATAGTCTCCTATCATTTTCGCCTCCTCGGACTTATCTTTCTCATTTTCAGTAGCTTGTTTACTTTTCGATGGAGAACTTGAGCAATCCTGAAACCCTTTCTTAAACTAAATGAACGACAGAATTCTCAATTTGATACTTCCAGACTCATTTTTTTTCAATTGAAGACAGCTGGGTACTACATATAGGGACTGCACAGGATGTTGACAAATATCTTATTCCTTAACTTTATTTTTCACCTGTGCGTCAATTAATTAACATTTAGAGTCCGACGTTAACGGATTCCTATTCAAACGTGGAGTGTGGAGAAATCCATCGTCGTAGGTTGATATCAACATTTTTCTTTGCGATCGTTTATTTTACTAAACAGAGGTCTGCACTTTCTGTATATCGAGAGCTTCTCCAACCCTCAGCATTGCGTCGAGTCTATTTCGGCATTTTCAGTCCACCCTCCATAATAATCATGATTCATTGCTACGATTGATGGTGAAATAAATGCAAAATGTAAATACTGGTAAAAAAAATAGCCTTGTCTCCGTACAGTTTTTCGCTAATTAGAGGACTTGGGGAAATATTTTGCTCTACGGCTCTTAGCATTCATATATTAGAACACCAACAGTACTAAATGTTGATCAGCTCCTTATTTAAAGCGATAGTGGAGAAACTGGAGACATGGAGGTAAGGGATAATGTGGAACATCTTGCGCTTCTTATTAACGAATCTAAAGAGAGTGAATCAAAGAAAGATGACGAAGTTGACGACGAAGTCAGCGGCTGGATCGGCAATTTTTGCTTCGGTCCACAGAACGAGCAGGTATTGGTGATTTAGGGAACGCTTTCCAAGAGTATGTCCCACATAAGCGACACAAATACGGTCTTCAGTTATCCAAATTATGCTCAAAAGGTGGCTACACTTTTAGAACTCTGGCCAACACGGATAACGACCCCACCATAACTAGAGGTCTAAATCAGTGATAAGTCCTACTGATTAGTCTTACGTACGATTTGGTCCACGAGAGGAAATATATGTGCACGAATAATTAGTAAACAGGTCTTCTCTTGGCGAAAAACTTAGAGAAGGACATGTCATGTTGACATCTTTAGGAAGAGCAGAAAAATACTTCCCAAACATCTGAATGATTAAACTGACACGAGGTTGGTATAAAATTTCTATTCGGATAACGTTTCGGCGCCTTCGCCTTCCTCATAGCAGCGTTGAGTCGAGTGGACGGTCCACAGCTGGTCGTTGTTGCGATGTGGGTGTTCGTAGTCGTATTGAGTCGAATTCAATGGAATGAGTACCACTTAAATAGAAAGTTTCACTCCGCAATATCATTTTACATAGAACAAATGCTGGTTCCTTCCCGCTATCCAATATGATCTCTAATTTGGTGAGCAATACGTTCTGTAACAATAGGTACCCACGTCGTAACAACGAGCAGCTGTGTGTGCGTCATCGACTCGAATCAACGCGTCTTTGAGGAGCGGAAGGCCCAGAGCCGTTAGCCAAATAAAAGTTTTACACCATCCTCGTGTCAGCTTAATCATACAGAAGATTATCGTTTTTGTTACCAAGGTTTAATTAAAGTCGGTCTTTAAGATGTTACTTCCCAGAAAATCATCCAACCGATGTAGAAGGGCGTACAAAGGACAATACCACAGGATCGAAGCGGTATAATAGTGCTGAAAATGGAAACGTATGATTACACTACTTTGGTGTCACGGTTTGTAATGGGAGCCTTTGCCCAAGTCACTAAGATCGTAGCTACTGACCAAAGATACAAAGATACCTTTTCGTAGATACATGGGCATGGAAGAAGTGTAGCGAGCACGTACGGAGAACCTCGTTCTATGACTTCAAGATGCAACTCTACGCACTCGTGTCACGTTGGAAGTGGAAGTACTTCCAAACCTTTGCGTCCTCATTTTCTTGGAAAAGCGCTACCAGTGTGTCCAGAACGTGCAAACGATGCATAGGATCTTACAATGCAATATCATGGCATTAGGGTTGAAAGTGCTCTAAAGAAAAAAGCTTAACATTCTATCACTACTGCAATCGTTGTGGAAGACACTGTTGTTTAAATTTTTCCAACAGTAATTAAGGAAAGTTTGAATCTTTCGTAAGAAGTCCAAGAAGCAGGTAAGGAGCTGCAAATTCCACGTTGAAATTTTTGACTCTTCAGTTGATAGAATTATAAATAGCATGGAAAATGTGCTGATGTCATGTAGAATATGTAAGAAAACTGTTCTTAATCATAACGTTTAAAACATCGACTAAAGGTTGTGGTAACAAGACTTGATAAGTGTTTCTGAAGACAAACTTTCTGGAGTGACGTTAAGGAACGAATACCCTGTGAATAGTGAGCCACTAAAATTCTCCTCAATGAACTAGCGCCGTATCATCGCAAAAATCTCTCCTGAAATGTCGAACCTCATTTTTCTTATAAAACAGCAAGAAATTTCTTCATATTCTTCACGACCAAGAGTTTAGTTGGTTATTGCTTTTACCAGCAACGGTCTCTCACAACTCAATGAACTCGTATGATAAACTGCTTTTTTTTGTAAATTATCACGCGTACAGTGCAAACAGTCTGACACCTTTCAGTACAATGAACTACCGAGAAGGAAATGGATTGAGCTCGATGCGCGCCATCCACTTTACCCATCCTTCTTTGAGAAGCACGCGTTGTCAACAATGCAACGCGGAAGTTATGCGTTGAGGCGCTCATCAGCGCTTATTTATAACAGCTTATCACCTTTGTCACATTTTTGACAAATTTCCTTCGGTAAGGATTAGCTAAGGAACATCAGAGGAAAATATTTTAAATATATGTATTATTCTAACATCCACGTTCCCTCGGTAATTACAAGCACTTTTTTTGTGCTTTCTAAGCCTTTTCCAGGCAACCACAGCGAAATCAATACGCAACTCCGTGGGTCTTTCGAGAAAGGTGAAGAGCCACAAAATACTTAAGCCCTTTCACCAAACTGTATCTCCATCATCCTTATGTTGTTATTTTCAGTTATAGTACCTCGAGTTATATGTCCAGATAATTTTCTACTATTCTTTTAAACCACACCATAACGACGTTCCATGTTCAAAAAAGGAAAAACCACAAGCATTCCGTTATTTATTATGCTTGGTTCCTCCATTTCAACGAAAGATAAACGAACAATAACAACAAAAAACCCGTCGTCAGTGACGTTTTGAACCGATAGCAACGTTCACTCTCTACAAAAAAACCCCCACTCGCCCGTCGAGACAAAATTTTTCGATGAACTATCATTTTTCCCGATTATCAAGCTTTGCAACATTCCTTATCGTCCTCTGTTGTTCGTATATTTGAAGCGCTGTAATGTTATTGCAATGTTTATTACTTGAACATATCAGATTTCCAGTGACCCTATAAATACCGAAAGAATGTTTAGTCTAATCACTTCCCATTCGGTATTTTTAAGCTTCACTCCTATTCACTGAGCCCTTCTTCCTATCCATTATGCCGTGTTTTGTTGACGCTCGAAATGGTTCAGATATTTCAGTCTCAAAATGTATCTTATAGAGTGACGTAATCATGATGAACCATACCGCCAACGGGTCAAGGACTGCTGATAACAAAACCAAGATGGTGAGCAATGACTGTATCCGCATTAAATTAAAATGTTCTTAACACGTAGACGTCTTATATCTCACCACTAGTGGCATGCATTGAAGTCAATGCCTACGATTAGAGGTCAGAAGAAAGCAATTGTTAACTCAGCGCCCTTTTATTAGCAACAATCTAATGTATTTCCCGTTTATACCGATAGATACAGAAATTGCCCTGTTGCACCTATATTTCTATTTGTACAGCAGAGACGTCTCAAAACCTCCTCGAAATGACAGTAATCTTTGTCCCAATCACTGCACATTAAAGGCAATCGCGGCAAGACACGTACAGACGAGTAGCTGGTTCCAAAACATTGTGTTTTAATTCAAATATGCAGAGAGCAGCTTTCTAAAAAATCGTCTGGTACAATATCTATTGTAGCAAGGCGTGCACTAGAAAAGATAATACAAAAAACTTCTACAGCGTAAGAATCAAAAACGGAGAAAGCGCTTCAGAATCACTGTTTTGCCCAATATTCCTAACCACATTTGTGCTCTAATCAATGTTCATTATCGGAAATGCGTTAAGAAGCCATGATTGTGAATGGCGTGAGAGGCAGAAAAAAAGCGACAATAGAACCACCTATTTTTGATGAGCTGTCTATATTTCTCTTATCGGAATACTTAGGTTCCATGTCAAAACTCCGGAACCGACGACTGTGTGAAATAAAAAACTCAGTTAATTATGTAAACTACATGAAGGATAAACCACAAAGCGAGTCATGTTAATCAATTTCTAATAAATGCCATTCGATTTTACAAAGCACAGCAGAGGTGACTGAATGCATATTTGACCTATACAGTGAGTTTAGGAGCCTGGCTGCCTCCCACTTGTGTTCTTATCCTACCACACAAGTAGGACATCAATCTTCTGACCCCAGAAGAATAGGAGGATTGGTTAACTCAAGGTGTGAGGTCGAAACAGGAACCACTTACATATTCCAAGACACCTCTAGCCACTATGCTATACGTAACCTATCCAAACTATACATACATATATATATATATATATACATATTGTGAAAAAATTGTGTGGAATCAGTTCTACTGTCCATAATTTTCATGCTATAGGAAAGAAACATATTTCTTCAGCTCATCGTCGACTCTCCGTATGTGCGTTACACTGACAATGAGATCGAGACAAAATTTCGTTATCGCAAGAATCATTTTACCGAAACCACTAATGGTCTCCAAGTAACTCCAAAGGAACATGAATACGTGTTCAAAACGCAGCTGAAGCCGAAGAAAACCGGCAAGTCAATAGATTACAATGTATAAACAACAGTGATTGTATTGTGAAAGGACTATGAATTTGGTTATTGCAGGAGTTTTACTGGTTGGCTTAGGCGGGAACAACGGGTCCACTACTGTCGGTGCAGTGTTTGCCAACAAAATGAGGATGACTTGGAGCACCAAAGAAGGCACTCAAGCATCTAATTATTTTGGGTACTTCCACTTTTTTACAATACATTTGGGCACAACAAATTTTGGAGAGCAAAGCGCTATTCATGAAGACCTTTCTGAACTGTTTAGCTCAGTTAAATTAGTTAAACAATCCAAGAAAGTATTAATTATTACTACAGAGGTTAAATGACGGACGGTTTTAAAAATAGTTTTCCTACTCATAAAACTTGTGTTAGTCACTAACGAAGTGTTTTAACGTGCTAGTCTTCTTAAGAGCAGAAAACACTTCACCTGTCTAGCGCTTTCAATTGATTGTTGAATGTTAGATCTCTTTGCAGATCTATTACCCAGGCGTCGACCGTTCATCTAGGATGGGATGGTGAGCATCAAATCCATGTTCCTTTCAATGAGATCATTCCAATGCTATCACCAAACGATCTTGTATTCAATGGATGGGATATTAACAACCATAACCTCTATCAGGCAATGCTCCGAGCTAAGGTAGGACTTATTTTTAAAATCACAAAAGTGCGGAACTGTTTTTAGCATAAGTGCTTGTGCCAACGCGCGGACAAACGACAGCAGGAATAAGTGTTCCATAACCGTAAAGCTCGTTTCAACTCATTAAAAACGGATTAACTTCGTGTATAAACATACAAGTGGTTCATCTAGGTTTTCGAACCTGAGCTACGAGAGAAACTTCGCCCTTACATGGAGCCGATCGTTCCGATGCCGTCAATCTACTATCCGGATTTCATCGCAGCAAACCAAGGCGACAGAGTCAACAACGTTATCGCTGGCACTAACAAAAAAGAGCATCTCGAACACATTCGTCGTGATATACGTAATTTCAGGCAGAAGCATGAACTGGGTTCGACAAGGAAACTTTACCCCTAAAAGAAAAGAATAAAACAGTGCTTTATAAATTTAGAATGCGTGGTCGTATTATGGACAGCGAATACGGAACGCTACACTGATGTTGTGGACGGACTAAACATGACGGCGGAGCAGATACTTGCTTCAGTCGACGCAAACGCAGAAGAGGCAAGTTTGCAAAAAAATCTCCTTGTTTCTGCAATTTGAAACATAGGAGCTCGTCAATGCAGATATCGCCGTCAAATATCTTCGCCATCGCTTCCATCCTTGAAGGAGCTCATTACATTAACGGATCTCCGCAGAACACGCTCGTACCCGGAATCGTGGAGCTAGCACGTAGGGTCAGTAAAATCTCTTCTGTGGATTGAATTACAGATTATTCCAATGTACGAATCAGAATATAGCTTTAGTCTTTTTCATAGTCGTTACTCTAGACCTTCCGACCTGAACAGGAACACTGGAATAAACTTGTTTTCCATCATTAATCATTATAAACAATGTTCAAAATTGGAAAACTCCATAAATAATAGAAAGTCATTTCGGACTATTTTCAATAATTTCGAAATCAATTATGCCATTTTAAAACTTTGATTTGGACACGCTCCTGGATTCTGTATACAATGAAGATTATTCAACATAACTAAAACAAGAGGTGGATAACACAGTGGTAGTGATGCCCATCATCACAAGCACGGTGCTAGTTTGATTCTGCTCTGGACCAACCAATCCTTCCATTTTTAGACTAGTTATTCCATATTGCATGTTTAATATTCCATTTCTAAACGCCTAAGAAAGAAAAATACATTATGAGAAATGAGCTAGTTCTCTTCAGTATAATGTGTTCGTCGGAGGAGATGACTTCAAATCCGGACAGACCAAGATAAAGTCGGCGCTTGTCGACTTTCTAGTCAGTAGTGGATTAAAGCCGGAGTCCATCGTCTCGTATAACCACCTAGGCAACAATGATGGAAAGAACCTGAGCGAGGCTAGGCAGTTTAGATCCAAGGTACTGTATCTAGATTTTTGCCCACAACACTTCACTTCATCAAATTTTTTTCACATTTAAGGAAATTAGCAAGTCTTCTGTTGTCGACGATATGGTACAAGCAAATAAGATTCTTTATCCTACTGGACAAAACCCAGACCATTGCATAGTTATCAAATATGTGCCATTTGTTGGTGATTCAAAGAGAGCACTGGATGAGTACATCTGCAGGTGAGCTTTCACTACCACTAAGCAGCTTTCAAATTCAGTGATAAACACCAGGAAGAAACAGAGGAAAACATAAATTTCTAGGATTTCGCATCCACTAATCCATATATTAATAAAGTTCCTACTCCATCCAGCTTATAACTGAGTTGTCTGCTTTCAGCATTTTCATGGGTGGACGTCAGACATTCGTCATTCACAATACTTGTGAAGATTCATTGCTTGCAGTGCCTTTAATCTATGATCTTGTAATATTGACAGAACTTGCAACGAGAATTCGTTTCGCTGACGCTAACGATGGCAAGTTCCAATCCTTCCATGAGGTAAATTGACATTACTTGAATAATTGAAAACTTCAACGGTCTGCCTCATACAGACCGCAGCACGATTACCATAAGACTAGTAACTTAGTCGTTGGAATTTTTTTTTCATGGCGCTCTAAGCTAGTAGGGACTGTCAAGACATTTCGAAGTCATCATCAAATTAGTTGCCGGCTCTTCTAAAAAAAATCGTTGCCTTACGATTTCCATTTTAGCTGGGCTTTTACACGGGGTCAGACTCTTTCCCAGTCTGGTTACGAACACTCGCTGTTGTTTTGTTGCCTTGCTACCAGAGCTGCTTACTACTACAAAGTAACACCTTACTACGAAGAAGCGACAGACCATTGAGAAAGCAAAGCGCCTGAACTGAAAGAAAAGTGCAACTCAAAAATATGAAAGAGAAGTTTTCATTGAAAATCCATTTCACTCCTAATTTTAGATTCTGTCAATTCTCTCGGTACTCCTCAAAGCCCCCGTGGTTCCTCCTCGTACGCCAATAACTAACGCATTCATGAAGCAATTCGCGTCACTAACCAAGCTAATCACTACTTTAGCCGGAATCGCAAGTGATGTCGATATGCAGATCGAATTCTTTACTAAACTGCCGAAGGCACATTAACTATAAGACTATTTCTAAATGTTTGTATTGGGAAAACTTATCGAGTTTTTACGTAGAAACATCTCATTGTTAGAACTAAAAGAGTCGTTGTTGTTTACATAGTACTTCGTGTTTGTTCCATCTTCAAACTTGTTTGCAACTTCAGTAGATAATAAATCGCTTTCAAGGTGTACTAGATCTCTTGAAATTGAATGAAACTTTAAACAGGAAGAGATTGACGAGAACACTTTAGAAACTACGAAGTGTCACTTTGTTTGTTCTAGAAGTAAAACTAAACCACGTCCTTAAGATGAATTCTTATATAAGGATAGACAATTTGCTTTCATTGAACTACGAGCTTTCGTTCACTACGTTGTCATGACTTACGTATTTACTAGTATACACTGCCGAAATACAGTATCGTACTTCAAAACAGCGATAAAACTGGCCGCATCACTTCCAGAAACAGACAGATCGAATTGAAGTGTTGAATTACTTAGTGTTTACTTTACCTCAGTGAACAACAGATTAAATTGTGGTTTCTGTTGTTGGGTAACATCAGATGAAGTTCAGCTTCCACATCGCTCTTAAGCGGTCGGTCAATTTTTTTATTTTCATATTTGAATTCGGTTGACGACATATCACATCCGTGATAAAAGCATGAGAACGCTTTAGCAAGGTTAAGTCAGGACAGGGAAGAACACGTTGTCCGATGAGCAACAGACCAGAAGAACACTACCATCAACTGCTACTCTCCGATCGATGGAACAGATGAGTACGAACAAGATGCGTTCTTCTTAGATGCGTTGTCCGAAATGATAAATCCGGAACAGGAATGGCCAACGAGAACGAATACAGTATCGGAAAACTAGAATTAAGAGAAATAAATGAGAATTGGAAAGGTGTTTCTATACTTCTGTCCGCCGCGATCCTCCTTCATGAAGACCCATTTTTCCACAAGAGAGAAAGTCGCCGCTGGCTATCAGAGACACCTAACGGTACGACATATAAAGAAAACGACCATATCCTTAGAAGATAGTGCCTGCTTGACACATTCGCAGTTCCATCATTCCGTACTGCGTCCGAGCACCACCTTCCCACTGCGAAGATTCGATTCAGTCGGAAGCTGGAAAACAATTCTTGATCACCAACAAAGAAGAAAAGGTCTGCGTATAACAGAAATATTCTGAACCAAATCCTATACAGAAGTGACTGGCAAATTAGGAAAAGCACGATCGAACACTACGACGTGGTTGCCGAAGGTCTTAAAAGTTGTGCCGAAATCGTCTCATCTCTTCAAACAAGAAGATCACACCACATCTCCATTACCGCTAAGCATTTGCTCGAGAAAAGAAGGAAACTTAAGCTGTATCCTACTGTGATACATTTAACAATGCTAATTATAAATGCCAGTCGCAGAAGATCACTGTAGGAGGATCCACATTGGTTCAGGCAGCTGTTTAAAACAGCACAAAATCGAACCTATCTGAATAAATGCGGTTGATACCTAGCACAGCATAATATTTCAGTGTTAGCCCTGATGAATGAAGATGGAACTATCACCACATCCCGCTATTGTATGGAGTTTATGACGGAAAAGTCCTACATGAATATTAACCGTTTCACAATTGCCGTCTCGGATCCTAAAATCCCCCCCCATTTTCACCATTAGGTTCGAGTTGCGATAGAAAGCATGAAAAAAGACACAGCTCTAAGAAGTGTCATTACTGACTTAAGCCACAATCTATATGCAATTCACGCAACGCATACGTCGTCTTATTTTCAAACGGAGAAAATTCCTGGTCTGTGAATGACGTGGTGCACGGCCGTTTTGACAAAAGAAAGGTGATCTAAAGGATATGATATCTACAACTATCATCATATCGGGTGCGTGTAGCGCAGTGATTAGAGACGACCTGCTGTATGAACGTGGTTATTGGTTCAATTCTACCTCCCTCAGACTCGCCAAGGATTCCATCTATCCGAGATCGGTAAATTGCTATTAAAGTTGTCTGTAAGGATAGCGCACTGACTTGACACATTGGTAGCCCACCGCAAGTCATTTTGTAGGCCAGGTATGTATTATACTACCCCTAAAGATGTTTGTTGAAGTCGAATGCATGGGGCATCCCTAAGGGATTAATAACGCTCAGCACTTTATCCCTATCTATACCTTTATCAGAGACAAACGTGGTGTAGTAGTCGAAGGCAATACACACGGGATCGATCTCGGCTTTTCAGGCTCACCAAGCCCTCCAACCCTTTGGGGTCGGCAAATTGGTACTAGACTTGTCTGAGAGGATAGCAGCACTGGCACGGTATATCCGTAGGCCACTGCGAGTCACTGTAAAGGCCAGATATGTATTCAATCATCTCCAACATGCTTAATGAAGTCGAATGCATGGCGCATCCCTCAAGGAGTCATCAATGCCAACAGCTTTTTCTTTTAAAATTTATCTCTTTATCGTTCGACTTTCCCGTTGAATGTACCCGCTGTACTCCGTTGAATAATTTATAGGTTACACTGTCGTGCATATCAAGGACGCCGTCGAAACGAATGCATTCCTATTAGCGTTCGTAAACCAATGAGTTGGAACTCTTATATAATAACCCTAGTTGACTGTTATCAGAACTGTACCACAAAAACAGAGCTCCTTCACTGACCCCTTGTTACAACTGAAGGGAAAGGGGGTAGACAAGGCGAAACTATACCGCCAAAGTTGTTTACTGTTGCATTGCAGTGAATAATGAAGTCACCTGATTGGGAGAAAGCGGATTAAGTATTGACGAAAACTTTCTATCAAATCTTTGTTTTGATGACGACATTATCATATTTTCGAGAACTACTAATGAAGCAGAGACGATGATTAACGAGCTCATCGAAGCAGGAAAAACGATTGGACTATATAGAAATCGGAAAAATACCTAATCAATGAAAAACCGTCCTCCAAGCGCTTTCTTATGCACCATGAACGTGGTGTAATACTTCATCGACATCAAGGACACAGCGCACTACTCACGGAACGCTTAAACAATGTCTTCTAAAATATAACGGGCACATACAGCGTTTACTGGGCAAGTCGGAATGTGCAGCTCAGATCTCTGAAACCTCTCCCATCTTCCGAATTCAGGAGAATACTTATGAATAGCGAAGCACAAATCAGCCGGACATATAATGAGAAAAGAAGATGACAGACGAACGAAAAAAAAAACAGTGGAGTGAACTCCAAGAAAGTGCAAACGTACCTTACCCTACGAAGACTATGGAAAGGACAGGCGGACGTGTTCGTGGCCAACGTCAACCATCTGCATTCGCAGACGAAATCGACTTTAGGGATTCGGAATAGGCTTAGTGGTCGTCACCATGTGCCACGCAGACCGTCACCGTGAATGACGACTGCGTAAAAAACGAGTGACCAATATGCTGGGGTCCGACAAACTTGTGAAAGCAAATCGTGAGCTACCCAAATATATGCCCAGGTAAGCAGCCGTCGGTTTGTATTTCGATTGATAAAGCCGAACATGAGCCATTATGCATGAGTTTAAAAGCAAAAGCAGCCATCATTTTGGTACCAAATCTAGTGCACTCAACTCGTATTTAGCGTCATGCGTTGACTTTGATACCTTTCATATAGCTAGACTTTTTCCGGTAATATTTAAATCCCTAGGTAAATATTAGGAACTATTCTTTTTTCACGATTAATCTGACGTTTCGGCGGATTTCGCCTTCTTCAGAGTCTGGAAAGGCCAAGTTGATAGCAATCCACTCGGCCAGACGCCTCCATAACCAAACAAAGAAACTCCAAACCAAGATTTCA